AGTCCAAGCCATGCGCAGATTGGTCAGCTGAAGGGGTGTAATTCTAACTTCCTGGCCAGCGTCTTAGTCTCTTTCATATGAGGCCGAGTTTCCCCCTGGGGATTGAGCGTCCCCTTTGTAAATGTCTACTTTTATATCTAGCCGAATTTATGAAAACTGCACCAGCTGGCAAGTGTCATCCACACAGCTTAACTTGACTATACAACTTTGTTGAGTACCACCCTCACCCCCCACAGGACTCGACTGAGTTTGATTCAGATTTTCCTTTGTTTCTTAGTTTTAACTGCTTCTACGAGACAGAGGAATTTCTGGTTTTACAGTTAAATGGATTTTACCAACAACAGCTGCATTTGACAAAGTGCTCATACAGATTTTGGGGCAGGGAGCGAAAGGGCCGTGCCCCCTACTCCACCACCACCACCACCATTTGTCTTCTATGTTTGAAGAACTTTCCCCCAGAACCTTTACTTTCTGGCCCCACCTTATGAATGTAGAATTCAGTAATCAATAAATGGTAATCACGTCCAATGGGTCAGAAATTTCAGTGAAGCACTGAGTGAAGGCGTAGGGCCTATTCGTTTTACTGTTTAGGCTCTTATCAACTCCGTGAAACATTAGGCAACGACGGTGCCCGTTCAAAAAACATTTTCAACCCTAGGCAATTAACATGTAGTACTAATTATTAAGTGTATTTTTATTAGAAAAATGAGCAGCTTCAAGTGGACTTCTAAAAGTATATCTAAGAGTACGTGACTGTGCATGACTAGCCCAAAGAATGCCTTTTGCTCTGTAGATCGTATTACAACCTGTAAGGTCCAATTTTGAGGTCGTGTTTCATTCCTAAAAGGGCAGCATCGCTTGCGTAATTCAAAAACGAATTCGTGAAAAAAAAAAGGGGAAGAGAAAAGAAAAACAAGCAAACAAACAGGGACACAAAATCGTAATTTTAACTGGTTTGGAGACGTTGTTGGAAACGCAGCATCTGAAAGCATCGACGGACAAGTTGTGTCAATTCTTCTTGAGTCCACTATGGTATTTTGTTGATTTTATTTATAATTTGCCACACCTCCATCTCAAATCCACAATATTTACTTCTTTCGATAGTGTTTTGTTGATGTTTATCACCTACTTTTTCTTTTTTATCTCTGATTACTTTGTTCTTTCTTCTAATTCCCAAAGAGGAATAAGTTTCCTTTTTTACTGGGGTCATCTAATCCTGTAGACTGTTTTTAAGAAGCGCTTAATACCACGATTGATCTCATTTTATAGTTATAAATCCTGACAATTTAAAGGAATGGCATTTTATTTTTTTCCTTCAATTTGGCATTTTTAAAATTGTTTTAGAATAGATTTTGTCTCCTGATTTTGTACCTTTTTACAAACCAAAGTCAACTTTGCTGTGAGGACTTGTCCGATGTTCAAAAGCTCCTGAAATACTGTACTGATTGATTGCCAAGAGCATAAAGCCAACTCTCCCTTTGCTTACAGGCAGCAAGTCCACCTTGTGAAGAGCCGGATTAGGCCACTTCCGAGTTCCAAAAACCCTCGCTTTCAAAATGAGGCCAAGTGCACAACCTTTCTTGTGAAAATGAGTTTTATTTGCATGAGAGTGAAAATCATTCAATTCACTTAACCTCGTTTTCATACAGAGACCCGGGGGAACTCGAAAATGGCCTATTAGTGGCTAAAGAACGTCGAAGTATTGGAATTTGTTTAAGGGTGGGTTTAGAATTTTTAAAGAAAAGTCAACCGGAAATACCGTACTGCATCGGTTTTTACCTTTTCACACTTTTCGCTTAGACGGTGGGTTTTTATACAAAGAAATGGACTAACGTTTTGTGCTTAAAAGGAAGTGATATTTTTTCATCATTTGTCTCTTGAGGGTTTCAGGAAGCGTGCCGCGCTTACCACCGTAATGTCCCAGGGGTAACTTTTTATCCGGGAGGCGTTACTGGGGGCGCTCCCCCGGTTTCGAGGAGCAAGCGGGCCCAAACCGGGTCAGTTTGTTATTAATTATTTCTTTCGTTTTTCTGTTTTTTAAAAAACAATAACAATTGCATAGAATTTAGTCACAGTTTTTTTCCCTTTAACATATCAATAGAAATAACCAAGATAACACCAATAACAGTTTAAAGTCCTCTGGTCCCGTGTGCATATAATTGACGCGACCTGCAGAACTCAGATGAAATAAATAATAATCACAACTCTTGCTAACATTGAATTCATCTGCAACATACGCGTCTATCTTTCCTATTTGGTCGTTGGAATTTATTGTTTTCAACCTCAAAACAAAAAGTCCAGTGGGCAATTACGACGGCTATGCGCGTATGTTACAGATGAATTCATCCCGATCCACCTCGGCATTCATTGCGCCTGTCGTTCTTCGACCTTTCTGAATATTGGGTCAGTGAATCCATGCCTGCGTGGCTGCAAACGTGAAGAAACAAAAGAGGAAAAGGGGATTGAAATCGGACGCGGTAGAGTGGGAGGGGAAAGCACCTTCTAAAAATTGCCGCGCCACTCACTCTTCACGCGAGACGAAATAACTAGCCTTTGAACAGGCCTTTAGTCGAACGGGGAATTTCCCTTTCCTCGCTATTTTTTTCCCCAAACAGAGAGCCTGTTCACAGGCAACGAAATACCCTTTCCATTTCAGTCTTATGTTTCTGGCGAATTCCACGTAGCCGACTAACAGACGCGCGCGGCAACGTGAAAAAATCACCAGTTTTGTTGTAGCTTGTGATCATGTCCTCCCCATACCTCTCAAAAGGGATTTTTCTTTGGCATTTTGTCAGAGCTTGGCACATCTTAAGAAGATAAAGCGAATTTTGCTATTTTGCTTCCCCGGTGACTTCGTGCGTGACTAATACAATATATGATCGAATACGTATAGCTAAACTGCAGTTACAAAATTAATTTATGTGTATTTGTAAATTCAACTGGTTTATTTATAGTTTATATTTTTCAATTCAAAATTCGCCCGCTGGAGTGAAAACTGTCAAATTTTAGGCAACTATCAATAATTTTATTTGTTTATGTGATTATTCAACGCTTTTGACTTTTAGGTTGTGTTCATGGTACAAGTAATAATCTTTAGCACTTTCAGCTTTTTCGTGGCACATTTTTTGACAAAGCGTACGTTTCCAACACAACCATATTTGCACGTCAACCGGGACTTAAATAATAAAAAAACCACACAATTCTTGTAGTTGAAACTGTTCTTCAAAGACTGCAGCAGTACACATATTAGAAATCGACGAAGTTTTAAGAAATGGCCCGCGCCGTTAATCACAAACTTTGGGCCTCGGTAAGGCTGCGTCTATATATATTCGTTGGATTGCTTTGACATTAAGCCGAATATACGCGGGACGAGTTAAGTTTAAACCTGCCACGCTTCTTGTAATCAGGAGAAAAGTTTTATATTTTGTTTCTTGTTTTTCTTTCAGAATGTTGTTAAAGCTACGAATGTCTTCTACAAGGAGCACAATGTGACTCGAGATAAGAGGGGTCAGGTTGTAGGTACGAGGGGAGGTTTCCGAGGATGTACAGTTTGGTTTACAGGTAAGTAAATTCTAATATGATCATACTTGTAACGTAGATAACTCACACAGTCAAAGTCTATGAAAGAGAAAACCGAGCAGCCAAAGTTTAGCCAAAGTTGACTACTTTTTTTAGCTTGATATTTGAGCGATCACACTGAATTCTCATCTCCTGTGCTCTTGGTGTAAACGTTGTTTACAGTTGTGGTAATTTCCTGGACACATACTCGTTTAATGTGTAAGACGAACAGCACTCATCAGTTCTATTAATGTTCGAACCTTTAAAGTCGTCTCCCTATTCTGTAACAATTTATCATTCCCGCGATGAAGTTTATGTAGTTTTTTCTTTTCGTAGTGAAGTTCAAACAAGACGTTGTTTTAAGTGAGCAAAATCGTACCCTGTAATTTTTTAGTTAGAATTTGTCAGGCATGAAACCTCTGTCTTGTGTGTTAATGATGATTTCAAGAAAAAATATAGTAAAAGAAGTTCATATATCTTTACAGGTCTATCTGGCGCCGGTAAAACTACTTTAAGTATGGCTCTAGAAGATTATCTTTGTCGTCAAGGAATTCCTTCTTACACTCTTGACGGAGACAACATGCGAACAGGACTGAATCGTAACCTGGGATTCACACCAGAAGATCGTGAAGAAAATATTCGTCGTGTGAGCGAAGTGGCCAAGTTATTTGCCGACTCAGGAATGATCTGTCTCACCGCCTTCATCAGCCCTTATGAGCGGGTACAGTGCATAATTTCATCATTATCTATGATTTTCCTTATTTTAGATGTTGCTCGAGTCTTTTTGGCTTTTTTGACTTGTTTAAAAGTTGGTCATTCGCTTATACTTTTGAGCTGTGGTTTGACTCTTATCGAAGAGCCGTATAACTTTTCCTAAAAGTGCGTTTCTTGTGAATCATGAAGTGTCAAAAACATCTCGATCGCTTTTCATAAAAGTTAATGAATTTGCTGAGCAAACCCTTGATGTCTGTTGGTTTACATTAACAAGACAACGATAACTGCCTCATTTTATTGTACCATAACCAAACTTTAAATAAGGAAAAAGCGATTCACAGGTCTCATCGACAATTTGCACTCGCAATCCAGCTTTCACATTTCCTAAGAAAGGCTCATTATCTCTATTTTGCGACCCCTTTCACAGATTTTTTTATTCCACGAAGAAAACCTCACGTTATACAAACAAACGTTCTCTGTCAGTACCTTTGCAAATAGTTCGATATTGCATTGATTCTTTTTCTCAATTGGTTCGTAGCAAGCAAATTAACACTTTAAACTCGGATGAAGCCTACAGGGTCTACAGCCCAGTGATTTTACACCGATGAATTCGTGAAGCTCGCGACCTTTCTCAACTGTAACAAATTAAATATGATTTAATTGTTTTCTAGTACAGTCTTGTTTTTGCGATTTTGCTCAGTGAGTGAACATTGAATAATGTTAAAAAAGCGAAACTTGGTTTTAAAAATTCGTCAGTCCGCTTAAATTAGTTTTGTAGTTTAATTTCCTCCACCTTACTTACGAAAAACACATTTCCAAATTGAAAGAACAAGTAATTACGTGTAGCCTATTCTTGGTAATTAAAGGTTCATAGCGGGAAAAAATTTATTCAAATTTTGGCCATGCTGACCTACGTGGCATTGCTACGTGTTAGAGTCCTGTGAGAATGTATGAGCCTTATTTGAAGTCTGGAACTAGTTTGGAGTCGAGGCGCTCGCGGCGAAGGCAGGCACGATGCTCGATTGCAAGTTCGGTCCCGAAGATGTTTCTCGTAAGTCGCGAGAACGTTTTGAGCCCGGAGCGACATTTTGAAAATTCCATTTCTGTATTACTATCGCGATATTTTGGCCGATAAAACCATCCTGATGTAATTCGCCAACATTGAATTTTATCACTTGGCTCTCAAAACGATCAGCAGTCCACGCTATAAATAGATATAAGAAAAAATGGTCCCGAAACCTCCCCCGTCCCCTGTTCAGTGGGGAGCTAAAGCAACAACGACAGCGATGGCTACCAAAACGTCTCATAAGTGCACTTATAAAGTGAATTTACGTTGCCTCAAACTTTATCGCGCTTATTCCATCTCGTTTAATTCGTCAAATGTTGGCAAATTTTTTTGGAGTTGAATTCTTAAGGACTGTATCAAATTCAGGCAAGAATAGGAAAGTTATTGTCTTGTGTTCCCGTCGTCGACAAATCGTGAAATAAGGCATTTTCACGTCGTAGTCGTGCAGTAACGGCAAAGAAATGTACAATGCGGGCGTTGATTTCGTCTCGCGTTTTCCATCAAATCGTCGGTTTTCAGGCGAAATCGTCGCATATCAATCGTTTTGCGTGGTAACGTTACTAGCGAGCGGAGCTCAGCGCAGAACGAGATAATAAGCACAGCAAAAACTCTGAACGGGCAGCACACTTTTGGCAAATTTCTTCGCCGTCAGTGCGCGACTTACGTTGTCAAGCTTGGTTAAAATGGCAAGGATGCGATCGTCGCCACTTCGACTTCGTCGGGAAAAGATAGCTTCTTTGTTTTACGCTGAATAGCAAACTCTTTAAACCAGAAAGCATTTTGGGGAAACAGAAAAGTTTGAAGCGCGTGAATTAAAGGAAGGTTTGTATCCATTTTACCGCCTGAAGAGACAATAAAGCGGAAAGCCCGAAGACATTTCTTGGCAATTTTTACAATCGAAAAATGTTTTATTGTTTATTGATCTCCGCCAAAAGATCATGTCTCCGCTTATCTACTTCTTATCATTAGCCTTGCCGTAGGTTGTGCGAATTTCTGGATATTTTAGTCTTGTTGTTTATGACCATGTAACAACGAACCGCAGGCTTTCAACCGAGAAATGCTTGAAAGGAATAGATCTTTGGCTAGACAACTCCTATCCAAGGAGGCCGACAAGATGTTACGCGTGAGCGACTTTGACGAACGCGAAAGGCAAATCATTCATCTTCCTGTTTTTCTATATTTACCCTCAAACGCTTTCTGCTCTAAAACATTTGTTATTTTACTGAAAGACAATGGAACTATACAAGCTTCTAACTTGCATTTTCATTTTCGAGAGATGTAAATCAAGTTTCACACCAGTTTTTCCTACTCTGAGTTGCTGCTTTTCCTTGTTTCTTGGTATGCAAAATGTTGTCATGGGCTTACCGTTCGTTTTTCTTAGAGACTGTGGTTTATATGGTGGCCTCGTCAGTAGGTTATGACCATAGCTTTTCAAAGTGCGACATTTCAATGTAAAGATCTTTGTTAGCAAAGCAAAGATACTTCCTCTCACCCCTTCAGTGGCGAACAGCTCTCTAAAACGCCCACGCACGCACGCAGAGCCCGCCGCAACGGTATTTGTCTTGGACGGATAGTCACTGTACTCAACAGCTCAAAGAACCACCCTTGTTAACCTTTCGTTTGATAGACATACTGTTACAGGTCTTCAGCCTTAGCTTCTGATAGGGGTCTGCGTGGGATTATATAATTACTCGAATTTCAATTATTTGGCGGTAGATATTCGGCGATATCTCAGCAACCTGTTAACATAAAGATTGAGCAAATTTCTGAGCTGTTAGTTAATTCTTTGGATCTGAGTTTAAGAACTGACCCGCCTCGATAAGCCTTTGCTATCTGCAGGTCAAATCGTTTATTGTATTACCAAATGAAACAATGAAATGATGTTGTAGAGGTGTAGCCTCTGTAATGACTCGACCTTGAAGGACCATCTTTTTCTTTAGGACCGTGAAAGGGCGCGTGAGAAGCACGAGAAGGCAGGGCTGCCATTCTTTGAGGTTTTCGTAGATACTCCGTTGGAAACTTGTGAACAAAGAGATGTGAAAGGGTTGTACAAGAAAGCAAGAGCGGGGCTAATCAAAGGTTTGAAACTTCTTCGCCTTGTACTTATAGTATTTTAATTTGTTACGTTGGTGAACTCCATGTGAACGAAATAAAACGGATCCATGCAGGCCTTATCAGTGTATTCATACTGGATGCCGGGACCACATAATTCGAAGCAGGGGGGATAATAGTAAGGGGTTACTTTTGGAAAATTCAGGCGGAAGTGAGCGGCATACGTGCTGTAACACTGTACCTATTTAAGACCCGAAGTGATTTCTAAAACACAAACGGTATAAAAAAACATACCCAATTTCACACCCTGGTTCCAGACAGCACAAATTCTCATCCTATTCTGGACGCAAACATTCAAAATTTTTAGCCAATTTCAGAGGAAGGTGTTACAAAACCGTAACCTTCGGGCCACAAAACCTATACAGCCGATATATGGGAGTATAACAAAATTGTACGGGAATAATCGGACAGACCCTACCTGAGAATGCTGTCTTTTGTATGTCTTTTCAAACTGTGACCAGTAAATTTCTCGGCTAAACGGTTTAACTGATTTTTGCTCCAGGTTTTACCGGTATAGATTCTGCGTATGAGCCGCCGTCCAAACCAGAGTTAACTCTGAAGTCTGGCGAAATGCCGATAGATGACTGTGTCCAAGAAGTTATCAAACTGCTCGCAGACAGGGTAAAATACTTTCATACTCTTATGGTATTGATGAAAGAAGAAATCAACCTCGTTCTCTTTCATTTAGTTTGCGGTATCTTTAGGTTAGTACCTCCTGTAGGCGAATCTTTGTTTACACTTTTTGCCTCATTAACATATGCTTATCACTATCTGATGACGCTAATAAAATAAAAACTCTGAATACTGAAAGGGCGTAACAGTTTCTGTTATCTCTGAAAGGTTGAGCCCAATACACCGAATGGTTTCGGAGAAATTCTCCTCTGAAAATTCGAAATTTTACAGAGTATGTATGGCTCATAAACTTTTTTGCCACACAGCAATTTCTGCTGATATTTCTTTCAATATATTGCTTGCAAAGAGCTGAAAATTGCACAAATTGCTCAACTTAATCAGCTCTTTCAAGTTTTGCATTTAGTTCATATACATGGCCACAGCTTCTATGAGTTAAGTCGTATGCTAATGAGGAAAAATGTAAACAATGACGTCAGCAAAGATTCGCCTATAGGTACCTGCTCTTACTTTTTTTGCTCCTTTTTGTCTCGCGCGTCTTTCGTGCTTGCCCCGCCTGGCCTAAAGAAAACGGAAACGACTGCTACGCATGCTAGCTCGCTCAATTTCCGTATCGAAACTTAAGATAAAGGTTTTTTCGAAAAATTATGACTACTGTGATTCTTAGAATGTTCAGTGTTCTCCCTATGAGTTTGGGAAGGCTGGGGGTATTCTGATTGTGATTTTCAACAGTGTTTGTATGAAGCCTGAATAACAATAGACGCAGCGACGAATAATCAGTTTTTAAAGACTCTTTGACAAGCTTTATTTTTGTTCCCTACATCTTTGGTTGACCAAGCTCTTCATTTTGACACTCGTTAAAAAGCGATTGGCACAGGATTTTCGTTTAGTGCTACGTGTAAGCTCCTTGATAGGCCCTTGTGTTTCTGGGACATTCTCAAGATGACTTCCTTTCAGTAAAACGGCAGATTTGAGCATGTTCATCCAAGAGTAAATCACTTTAATTTATAATCAATTAATTGCGAGAAAACACACAAATTAAAACATCAGACAATGTTTCATCAACATTCTCGAGTGATTTCTTCTTTGAAATACCTGCAGTTCTAGATGTCATCACAAGCTTCCGTTTGGTTAAATCTTTGGTTCTTAAGTCAGGCGTCACCGATTTTCCCTTGAACTAAGCCTGGCGGCCCGCCTAGCCCAAAATACCAAGGGAGAACGCTGATTTTTTTTATCTTATATTTGTGTTTAGTAGCTTGATTTATCGTTTTGTTGATTTTTCATGATAGGGCATTTTGCCGTATTCTGCCTACAGTGGGATTAAGGAGCTGTTTGTTCCTGAGGAAAAACTCGAGGAAGCAAAGCAAGAAGCCGAAGAGATGCCTTCAATTGAAATATCTACGGTTGGTCTTGAGTTTTTCTTCTAACACAGCACTTTATGGACTGTTCCCAGAAAAACAGGGGACTGTGAACAGTCTAAGCACTTTACTATAAGATTTTGTCCAAGTATGGTACTGGTATAAAGAGCACCGTATTTTCTTACAAAGTAGTGTAGTTTTCCTTGAAATGTGTACTCAACTATACTTCATCCCAACACTGACCACGGAGCTAAATTTTTACTTTTCCTTGGTCCTATTTAGGCCCGTTCACCCTTCTAGAAATGGTACGATCCCATCAAAATTATTTTTTTTGGAAAAAAATCTGTTTTCCCCTCGCGTATATGTTTCAGGCTACTTCGCGTCAATTTCCGTGCGTTTTTCCTTACGTTTTCGGTTTCATGCCCTTGCACACTGTTTGTATTAGAATAAAAACAACTCTTTCCAAGGCAATTCCAAGCTAAAACAATATAAAAATCACTTTGGCAAGTTTTCTGAATTTTGTTTTTCTTTCTCTTTCTTCTTAGGTGGATCTCCAGTGGGTTCAAGTGCTCTCCGAGGGATGGGCGACGCCTCTCAAGGGTTTCATGAGGGAACTGGAGTATTTGCAGAGTCAGCATTTTGGTCTCTTGTTAGATGGTACGTTTTCTCTTATACTCGCAATTTGCCGAGGAAGGAAAATATGTTCACAAAGAAACTTTCAAACGCTTTTTTGTGAGTAACGGTCTCGTGCCATAGTCTGGTCGTGTTATATTTGTATTGTCTGTATTGTCTCATTTGCGCAAGCACAAACCTTTCGTTCCTGTCGTATAAGAAAGCAAATTTTTCTTACACATGTTGTTTACACAGCTTCAAATGGACAAATGAGTAATTTATGTGATGTTTAGACCCTTATGTTTGCAATGGCTTTTTGGTTTCGTTTCTTGAATTTTGCCAGCTTTTTCAGTTTACTGTTGTACAACTTGATTCGGAAGTGCAGTCCCAATATATTTGGACAGTCCGCATTTTGGTCTCGTGTCAAACTACGTTTTCCCTTAGGGTCGCAACACATTATAGGTTACATGTTGCTGCAACACGTCGCGGTAGCAGATCACTCCTTGTGCACAGGTCGGGCGACATGTTGCGCGACCCGTTTCAGCGAAAATTGTTTCGTGTGTACTGGAGTCTTTGTTTACGCAACAGAATTTTGTTGCCGCAACAATTCGCACAAATTCAAATTCATTTGATTTTGCGGTACTTGTGACCACTTAGCAAAGAGAGACGGAGGAAAGGGATTTTCGGTTTTGGCCGCGCGAGAAATGAAACGAGAGCGCGTTCTTTGACTCTCGTTTCTTGTTCTTTGTCTCGAAACCGCACGGAAACGCTTGCTACGCAGGCTAAGTGCTTTCCGACCTTAACTCTCATAAATTGCTGAGGCTTTGTATTTTGTCTGATTAGAACCTAGCAAGGATCGGATAGAGGTATATTTGATAATTACACTGTTTCAATCGCAGAGGGCGTGGTTAATCAGTCCATTCCCATCGTGCTTCCTGTTGAAACTGCTGACAAAGAGAGACTGGTGAAGGAGAAAGCGTTTGCCCTTCGCTTTCGGGGAAAACCAGTTGCTATCATGCGAGATCCTGAGTTTTATGAACACCGCAAAGAGGAACGATGCGCCCGACAATTTGGAACAACGAATACTGGACATCCTTATATCAAGGTAACGGCGGAAACATTCAAAACGAAATGCTTGATACCCGGTTAAAAAGCAAATAATATCACAGGATGAGAAATAAAAAAATCCGAAGTTGAAACGACTTATGATTACGATTACTGGGCGTCAATTCTCAAAGGTAAACATGGCTTAAGCCTTGAGCCAAGAACTGCAACTCCGTTTCATTTCTACTCAATAAATAACAGTTATTTCCAACCTGCGGATGTTAAATATGAGAAAGCAAACATTGTTTTCGAACTAAAATGACCGGGATGAAGGAATCATAGTAGTTTATTTGTTTGTTTCTTTGTTTGCTTTTACGTACCTTACTTTGTGAGAGGATAGATGTTTACGTGATGTTGCAAATTACAGTGAGAACCTCGAGATAACGAAGGGTAAAGGGCCTGGAAATATTTGTTCGTTGTATCGAGGTTTTGTTATATGGAGGTTCTTTTTCATATATTTTGCTATAATGGGTAAAAGAAAATCGTTCGTTATACCAAGGACGTTGTTATATAGGGGATCGTTACATCGAGGTTCCACTCTATTTTTAAAATCTTTTTCGTGGAGAAAAAGTCACACACAGACAGAAATGATCGTAAATAGATCAACCAGAGCAAAAGTGTTGCGGGCGACTGGTTAAGAAAAAAAACTATTTTGTTCGCAGATGATACATGAATCAGGAGATTGGTTAGTTGGAGGGGACCTGGAAGCCTTGGAAAGAATTAAATGGAATGATGGACTCGACAGCTACCGAAAGACTCCGAATGAACTTCGGGCTGAATTCCGACGACGAGAGGCTGATGCCGTGTTTGCTTTCCAACTTCGAAATCCAGTTCACAATGGACATGCGTTGTTAATGCAGGTACGTAGCTACTTCGTGCATGGTTACAGCCGGGCTATGAAGCCACTAATGTTGGTAGGAGTCTTTAAAGTAGGTTCATATGCTCCCGTAGATGGAACGAATATAAAATTTAGGCGAAGGGTATAAAATTAATCATTTACACGAATTGCGCTTGTAAAATGTAATGGAGGAGGAAGCTGATGGTTTTCACATTGAACTCTTTTCGTTGGTAACTAAGGAAAGTTATTTTTAATTTGGGTTTAAATTCGACGATGTGTCAGGGAATTTATTACCATTTGAGCCCATGTTTAAAAAAATCACGAAATGAATCCTCAAGAAAAGTGACTCTACCATCATAGTTTAGGCGAAATCAAATACAAGCAAAATAGAGTGAGATAATTTGAATTAATCTCTTCCTAACAGGACACCAGACAGAAGTTACTTGACAGGGGATTTAAGAGGCCTGTTTTGTTACTGCATCCCCTGGGAGGGTGGACTAAACAGGACGATGTTCCTTTACACGTCAGAATGAAGCAACATCACGCGGTTATGGAGGAAAAAGTACTGGACCCTGAACACACAGTTATTGCTATTTTCCCTTCACCTATGATGTACGCAGGTCCAACAGAGGTTCGTTATCATTGATTTTATGTTTTGTAATGCAAGAGCACTGAACGGAATCTGATGCGATAGCCAAAGTTCCTTAGGGTACTTCACTTCAAGCATTAACGTTTCCAGCGCTAATTTATTATTTTACGAGAAAGCTTTCTCAAAGGGCTTTTTGACAAACTCTTAGTCATCTCAGGCTTGCAATTGACTCGCTGTTTACTGATACTGGTCCTAACTTTTGTGTTGTTGTTTTTTCCGTGTTTTTTCCTATGTTCGGAAGAAGTTAATTCGTGTCTTTTATTGCTGCCCTTTTTGATTGGCTGGAGTATGTCACCAACCGGAAGTAAAGCAAAATCTGTGCATCCTATGGAGACTTGTTCTTTGTTCTTACTCGTTCTACTTTCGTCGTGTTCCGATTGGTTTATTTGATCTCCAATCGTCTGTTCTAACAAAGGACAAAGTGAAGCGCCATGCACGTGTGAATCGCTTTATTAAACCCTTGTTTTACTCTCGACAGGTTCAATGGCACGCTAAAGCACGTGTGGCAGCCGGAGCAAATTTCTTTATTGTAGGACGGGACCCAGCTGGAATGCCCCATCCTGATCCTCCAAAAAGGGACCTTTATGAACATACTCATGGTAGAAAGGTAGGTTTTAAAATGTACATTTTAGTAATCTTTGTTTTGACTCGGGCAACTTTAGAAGTTGCCAAACATGCTTAAGGTGTGAAAAGAACTCCATACTTTTACCAACTAAACGTGTAAAGCGAAGCAGATTATTGTTCTGGAATTGTCGTAACTTGGATGTGAAAGGAGAGAGGCCTTGTCGCCGTTTACAGACTGACTTAGCGTCGTAAGTGGAATGGTCTCAGCTTAAAGCTGTCTCGTTTTCCTGTCTATACTAAAACATTCCAATAACTACTTTACAGAGCCGTCACTTCTACAGTGACATTCAAGATGTTTTGAATGTTGTTGTTTAAATTTAAATAACACTCTACAGTGAAACCTGTAATAATACCGGTTCGTTTGACAAAAAATATGGAAGAATGAAACGGGGGCTTTCTAGCTTGCGTGGCAGGCATTAACAGGATTAGGGGAAGGAGGAGGGGGAATTCAGGCGTGCGGGGAGGCTTCCTATTCTTTGCACCCCCGAATTTCCCCCTCCTCCTTCCTCTATTTAACGCCGGCCACGCAGGCTAGGGGCTTTTCTCTAATATCCGCTCAATGCAGGGTGCCTGCTTATTATGCGGTCTGCGTAATATAGGTTTCATGGTATTAAAAATTTCAAAGAAGGTGTATGAAGAAATCGTGATTGTGGATTTGGTATGTAAAACACTGATACTTGTGGAGTGGATAAGTCAGGACCAATTATAGCCACACCTAAGGTATGCGAACACGTTTGAGGCCAGAAATGTGTCCGCATAGATCAAGTTATGGTGAGACGATTTGTCATAATAACTTTGCATCCGTCGATGAAATCCTGTGGTGTTTCCATTCAAATGAATCCTCTTCAGCAGTAATTTCACATGGTGCATTTTTTTTACAATGAAGTTGTCTGTGGCCGAAATCCCATGGTGTTACCATCCAAATGAAACCTTCTTGGCTGATGGAGGTTAAAAAACGCATTGTTTAAATCCATGACTAAGTCTCCGGCTGGGGGAGTTGTTAGTTAGTGCATATGGTTTTAACCCTAGATAATCTTTTTCTTTACTAGGTGTTGACTATGTCACCAGGTTTAACTCAGCTTGAGATAGTACCGTTCCGCGTGGCAGCGTACAACACTAAGGACAGAAAGATGGAATTCTTTGATCCTGCAAAGAAAGAGGAGTTTGATTTTATTTCTGGCACACGCATGCGCGCTTTAGCACGATCTGGTGAAGTTCCTCCGGACGGGTTTATGGCGCCAAAAGCGTGGAACGTGCTATCTGAATACTACCGTTCACTTAATGACAATTAATAAGGGAGCCTTATAAAGGACTAAATCTGATTCTTCTGTCGTTCTTAAAGAAGGTGGATACTTTAAAAACTAATTCAAATTGCCCCGTACTATATTGTAACTAACAGTACTAGCATGTTTAGTTGAGATGAGAGAACCAACGGAACTCATCCACAAACTCTAGAAAAATATATGAGCCTGTTGTGACATACAGATAAGGTTAAGGTACTATGAAACGGGCAACAAAAACGCTGCTAAACGAGCTGAATGGCAGGGTTGCGCGTTTTACCACCCACGAATCAAACCTTTCTTGCAAAATGTCTTGTTGCAGGTTGAAAAAAATTGTTGTAGAAAGTAGAGAATAGTTCTACTTTTTGCAACAAAATCTGTTTACGTTGGGCGTTTAACCGGCCCAAGGCAAACTTGTTTTTCAGAAAGAGACGTAAATCCCTTTTATGGCGTGACTCCCGCGTAATTTTATCTAATCAGAAGTTGGTATTCACGCAACTTGCAACAACCTGATTTGTTGCAAGACAGGTTTGAATGAGGGTGGCTAAACGCTGAACTTAGTTTTTCAACTCGTTAGCAGCAATGCTGTAAAGCAAGGTGCAGGTTTTTGTTGCACGTTTTACGGTAGCTTTTGTATCTATGGCGTCTCTTAAAGCTACTCTTCCTTCTCTGGACTGCATTGCCCTTGCTATTTTGTTAACAAACGATTTTCTGATTTTGTAGATGAAGACAGGTACGTCTAAAAAGATCGCTTTCTTCCAGTCCCTATGGTACAATTTTCACTTGTAAAATTTGATCTTATGTTGCGTATCCCCACTTTAAGAAACGACAGTAACGAGTCAGAGTCATGACATTGTTAGATTGCACCACTTAACTCAATTCTATTTTAATAAGTTTTTATTCTTGGTCCATGTGCCGCAATGAACCGTTACACAAAAACAAGAATTCTTTGTAGTGTTTTTGGCAATAATTTCAAGTTAAATTTAACCTGTGCAACAGTATAGTGTAGATAGGATTTTTACTGTAGAATTTTTTCTTAGACTTAGCTTTGTATCTTAAGTTATCCGTTAAGTCCAGTTTCATGCTAAGAGACTTAAAAGTTTTCAGAACGGTAGGGAATGGTATGAAAATTTCAGTTTATAGGCAACCAGGAATGACGGAGCCATGATGGTCAACCTCGTTCCCAGGGTTCTCTCGTATTCGTCCTCCAGGGGCCGAGTGGGATAGGACCCTGGGAACAAGTTTGGTATAGAGTGGCTGTATCCCTAAAACAGATCTTAGAATAAGTAGTAATAGTAATAGAAATAATTAGTCTATCTTTTTAACTGGTATTTTAATTGGGATTTCTGGTATGTTAATGTAGATTCCGGTAATGTTCTTGTTTCATTGTAATGTTGTGGAACCAGCCAAGAATTAAAACATAAATGCACGGGTGACACCCAGCTTTGTTGCTGTTTTCAGCTTCTGAAAAAGACGGTTATTCAAGAAAAGGGCCTCACAAGGCTACTGGTAACCTTAATATTTGGTATCGAGCACTACATCTCGCTCCATATGACGTAAACCGGTTTCCGGACTTCGGAAAATGTTTGTTTGAAGAATCCGAAATCCTGGGCTTTGGACTTCGGAATTCAGCTCAGGTAATCCAGAATCCCGCAAACTATTACGATATGGAATCCAGGTTCCACTTACGAGGAACCTGGAAAGTGTGGAATCCAGTAGCTGGAATACGAAATCCATAGCGTGGAATCCAGAATCCAAGACTCTCTTGGATGACCAGTAGCCCATCTGGATTACCTTATGTAGGGCGACAGATCGAAAATGAGGACGAGTTTTTAAACCACATAAGTGTCCTGAAGTTTCGAGGCTCCTGTCTCTTTATGAGTGGAAGCAGGAAGGCTTATTTGACGAAGTTAGGAGAGATTTTAGAATTGTGTTGTTTCCCTTTGTAAATATGAGGTTTTTCATGATGCTGATATCTCCAACGTTTTTAAGAAATCAGTGACTGTACCTCAATGTAACACATACCGTAAAATTCCGAAAGGCCCTTTTTGAGGGGCTTATCTACGGAGGGAAATTGGCGTTTCAAAATCGTTTGGGCTAGCCTTATAGTTGGAAGTAAATTTACCGTTTTTGCTTTATTCTACTTTGTATCTGAGGGCAATTTTCCAAGTACAATTCCCCGGGGGGCTTATATTTGGAGGGGCGATTTAACGGAGGGTTTTTAGCGTTACCGGGCTTGGAGGCATCTATTTGGAGGGAGGGGCTTATTTTCGGAATTTTACGGTAATTTGGTCGCTTAACCCTCCAAGTCCTAAGAGGTCCAACATCAAGTTCCTCTTCACATTATCAATTAATTAGCCAGAAAAAACGGTTATGAGGATTGTTAAATGATGGCCCAAGGGGGAATGATTAGATCTTTTATCAAACTCTCTTAACCAACTCTTGAAGGAATATATGGAGAATTTACGTGGATATCGGGGCTATAACGGTTAATAGGGAAAAGCCCTGGGGTAGAGGTTGGGAAAGACCTCCAAAAGGAGACCACTTTGAGCGTGGCTTAAGCTTTATTTAACCCCTAAAGGAGAACTTCCAACACAGTATGAAGGCGTTTGTTACTTTTCATATAGCCAGTCTCTAGCTGACATGCCTAGCATCCACATTCTGTAAAAAAAGAGGAAAAAAAAGAGCCCAGAATTGGTGGGCTGGCCATCTTGTCCGAATGCCTGACACACACCTCCCCCAAAAAGCCTTTCTAAGGCGAATTTGCAGAGGGGAAACGCTCACAGGGTAGACAGAGGAAACGAAGGCTGCTGAAGTCGAAAGTATTGTCCGGAATGCGACAGGGCCTTCGGCACTAAATGACTCACCTCGTGATGTTCCTTGTCATCATCGACAACGACCGACGAACAAAAAATATGCAATTTCTACCCTAAGCGAAACGAACAGCAATTCCCGTCACTTTCAGGTAAGAGTTCTCTGGGAGAAAGTCTTAAAGCAATGTTTCCCAATAAACTGATTGTCAAAATTGAAACTTTGCAACATTTTAAGTTTAAGTCAACCGCTATCGATTCTATTCTAGCTTTTATCAAGACCTGGGCCCTTTTCTCGAAAGGCCCGGAAACTTTTCGGGCCCGAAGGAAAATTTTAAAATCAAAACCTCCTGAATCGTAGTACAGTTCCTATCTCACAAACCAGTCAATTTTGCTTCGCTAATTGATAACTTCATATTCAAAACTATTGAAACTTTGATTTTGAATGCAAACACGGCGAACATAAAATAGTCTTCTGGGACTTTCGAGAAAAGAGCCCCTGCAGGCCACCGCGGGTCGGTCTTAGTGGATAAAATTTCCAGTGTTTAGATCTCTTCTAGTGAATCTTCAACTGAAGCTGCAAAAGAGTCGATTTTTGTGTTTGTTAAAGAAAAACCTTGAAGTTAAACTAACCATAAAGCGAAACAAATTTATGTTCGCTGCAAGTAACGAAAAAAACTCAATCAGAGTCAATTAAGGTGCTGTTAAGGTATCAGGTATGTTTCATAAAGTTGTTTTGAATGAGGTCTAATGGTTGTTGTTTGCGTGCATAAGGAGTAGTCTTAAATTTTTCTACACGATCCTAGAATAGTCTTTTGATAAATGGGCTCGTCGACTTGTCATCGCACTATTTATTAGACGGACAATTAATAGACTATGATTTCTGAATGACCATGCTAAATACCATGTTATAGAACATTTGTTGTCAAATCACAGGAATCGAAATCAGTTGAAAAATTCAGTGTTATCCATTTTTACACAATTGGGCTCAGTGTTATAGTTAATTGAACATTATTGCCTGGGAGGCTATTTAAGATAAGGAGGCCCAGTATCACTTCTCCGTTTTCCAGAGGAGTTCCTCTACGCATGGGATTAACCACCCCCAAGAGACAAAATGGAGTGATCTAGCAACAGAATGGTAACGTCAGCTGGCGACGGTATAAAAGCGTTTTGATTAAACCGCTTAAGCCATTAATTAAAATGTCATAAAAGGCGGTTTTGTAAGTCTGCGTTTGGATGAGGCTGTTTAAGCCCTTAAAATGTAATAAAAAGCAATTTTAATTTGTCAGTCTGCGTTTTCATGAAGCTGCTTTAAGCCATTAATTTCTTTTGCAAATTTTCACATTTACCTTTTACAAGATCAGAAAGAGCAATGGCTTGTCTTGGTAAAAGTAAACGAGGATACGAATCGCCTTTTTGTCTGGGAGGCTATTTTGGAAGAGGACACCCAAAATCACGACTTCATTTACGATTTGCGAGGGGAGTTCCTTAATACTCCTGTCCGCTCCCCCCACCCCGACCGCACCCGAAGGAAGGGAAAACTTTTTTCATCTTTATTTCTCTTTATTTTAGCCATCAAAATGCTATAAAAAATTTGTTTTTTTTAAGTCTGTGTTGCGATGAATCTGTGTAAACCATTAAAATGCTATAAACAGCGGTTGTAAGTTTAGTCAAAACTAGAATGTTCATTTGTAAATTGTCTCAAGTGCCTTTTGCAACATCAGGAGCCGAGTTATCGGCTCCTGGCAACATCAAAGCAATGGCTTTGTCTTTCTAGCAGCAAATGAGTATAGCAACTGTTTTATTGCGAATGCTTTCTCCAGGTACTCTTGAAGGAACCTTTGCGTGGGAGGCTATTACTCAAAATCAAGACTTTTTTCCAGGGGTGTTCATTTATACTCCTATAAATGAGGGATCATTATACGTTTCTGGGAAACTACCAACCTACCCCTCCCCTAAACCAACATTAATACTTACTTCTCACTTAGGGAAAAATGTTGGCTTAGGGGAGGGATAGGTGGGCAGCTTCCTAGCAAAATGACAAGCCTCTCCGGCCGCTTGTCAAAAGAAATAAAACCCGGAGGGGATTTATTTACCGCTAGAGCGAAATTGTGGATGAAGAAAGCGAGAGAGAGAAAAAAAGGAAAAAGCTTCTGGAGAGAGTCTATGCACAAATCACTTAATTTTTTAAGAATAAAGAGTAATGTTTATTTCTAGAGATAACTGATGATCTTTTAAAAACATTTTGCTATTTTGGGCTATTACTTTTCACCGTATGGAATTTCTTCTGGCACCTTGTTCAGGGTTCTTTCATCGACCAAAGCTAAATGTTTTGTTAGAAGGTCAGGGAATCTCGATTTTTGAAGACTCCCAAATAAAAAAAAATTGGCTCAAATTTTCGCGAATTTCGAAGAATTGGGAGTGAATTTCAGCGTTTGACAAGGGAACGAAAGTCAGTTTTGCTTGAATTATCCGCGGTTGTTTCGAAAAAAAGAGGGTTCGCCAGGATTCTAGAGCGTACTACCGTACATCTGTCGAACAGACGACAAATAAGGAAACTTAAAACGCAACAATGTATTGCTATATATTTTGGTATTATCTATACAATCTTTTCCCTGCAGGTAGAGTCTCATTTTCCATGATTTATAACGTTTGTATGTTTGACCGCAGTGGAAATATAAAATGGGTGTAATGAACACATGGTATTGTATAATACCCCCTGTTTAGCTAGCTTTTACTCAAGAGAGCAGTCAGTGTTTATTTTGTATATGTTGCATGGAGATTGAGTGGTGTAGAACGACTGAAACACCCATTTTTGGAATTCAAGGAAACGATTTGACAGATCAAATTGAAAGAAAAGGGCGGAATGAGAGCCCTTATGGAATCCCGCAAGACGCATTTTTTTTTCCATGGAGACATCAGGTTACAGAAATGGAACCTTAATAACCATGGTGAAATCAGGTTTTTGATGTTCCGCTGATGCCAATAAAAAAAGAAAAGAAAAATAGGTTCACATAATATCTAATATGTGTTTTGACTAGTGAGGGAGTAATAATACTTCCCGAACTGTCGCTTTTGCCAGGTGGTATATTCCTCTTTTTTATTATACCTTCAGTTGTGGCATATAAAGCCGGTACGAAAGATTGCCTTTGCTCTTGATTTCCCACTTTTCCTTAAAAAGGTTTCGGACAGGAAAGAGGTAGAGATTAGGTCGTGAACATGTCTCGTCGGTAGAGGGCTTAATTTAGGTTTTTTTTTTTCGCAAGGAGAAAAGCGACCTTTGATAAAGCGGTACCGTTAAGAATGTGAGCGATTTGAAAGACCGTAAGGTGTGGGGGATAAAGTTGTAGTTTCGGAACGTTACGTGACTAGAAATCAGGTCAAATTAGTTCAATAAAATGAATAAGATGAAGTTTGGCTTTGTCTAGTCTCATCATTTTGCGCTGACCATTTACTGCTTTTTGGACTTTTTGATAAGCAGATCCTCACAATCTTGTTAAAGGTGGCTTAAAAAATATTGCAAATTAAATAATTCAGGTATGCTATTTGCTT